TTTCAGAGACCAAAAACCTTTATGGGCATGGGTTCCTTCCCGTTCCTTTTTCCCTCTCCTCCCTCTTCCCCAAAAAACCCTTCTTGGAAAAGCTCCGTTTTCCCTTTGCTACTTGAAAAACTTCCCAAAGCCCCCACACGTTGACTTTTTTAACCCCTCTAGTCCGTAGGGGGCCTTTACCTAAGATTTTCCCGATATTTTCTTTATCGCCAATTTAGGGGCCTATTTTCAGTGGGAAAAATCCGCGGGCCCAGGGGAATCGGGGGGAGTTTAGATGGCTTTCCCGGTTTTTTCCCCCGTTGGTCTTGTTTCAGAACCAAAATTTTCCTCGGTGTTTTTTCCCAAACCATCCAGGCTAATTTATTTTATTCTTCGGATCCCTTTTTCAGATGGGGCCTTTTAAAGAAAGTCCCTTCTTCCCCGCAATTTTTAAAACCAAAGTCAACTTTTGTCCTTTCCCCCTGCATTACACTGCAGGCCCGTAAACCACTTGGAAAAAGGGGGGTTTTCAATATGTTCTTTATATCCCCTCTTTCCTTTTCGAGCATTTTCTATCCCCGACTTTGCCTTTTTTGTTTCATCCTTACCACCCCCCACTTTGTTACTTGGGGATTTTTTTTGCCCCCATTTCCTCTGGGGGGGGCTCATTGTGCTCACGGGGATTCAGTTGGGGGGCTTTTTTTTGCCCTCACCCCCCTCCATGTTTTTTAAAACGGGTTTCTCCCACCCATTTTGACCTCGTACTATACCTCTCTTGCATCGATCTATCAGTCTGCTCTTCCCCCACTGCATAGATTCACCTGGTCTGTTCACCAGGGCTTACATTTACAGCGATCATTTTCCGGGGCATTTTTAAATTCTCCTTCCTTTCACCCCCCTTCCCGTAGCCCCCGTGGCAATTTATCGGCAAAATTGGGGGTCTTTACTCACACCCATGCTTTTATGAGGTTCCCCTTTTTTATCCTCCATTGATGGCTCCTACCCATCTTTTCGCATCAGTTTTAAACCGCAGCTTCTCATTCTATACCCCAAACCTCGGCAGGCATTTCAGAAATGCGTGCCTTGGTTTGGGCTCCCGCTTGTGCTCGTGCAGTACGTTTGAAACGTGCTGCATGGGGCAGGTTCCGGGACAAAAGAACCCTGGAAAAACTTTTTATTTTTAAACAGAAACGTCGATCGCTTTGCCGTTTTCACCGGGGAAGGGAAACGCCCCTTTGGGAGCTTTGTTGCCACCCTAACCCCGCTTCTTCTATGAGTGGCCCTCTGGAAAAAGTGAGGAAAAATTTAGTGGGAAATACTCTCCTGACCCCCGGGTCCCCGTTCTAAAGGGTCACGGGGGTTGAAAATAGCAAACCCCTCCCCGGACGTTGCCCTTGAAATTTTGGGACACATTGGTTCCCCATTTCCCCAGGGCTCCCTCTTGCCCCCCTTTTTTTCCTTTTCCAAAATCTGCCAGAGAGGTTTGTACCCTTGGAATTTTTTTTTCTCCCGGAGAAGAACCCGTATAAAAGTGCCTTTTTTCATTCAAAAACTGGAGGCCAAAAGTTTTCACTTGCCCATCATCAGCAGCGGGGGCCGATAATTCATATTGTATGTTACAACCCTTTTCACGGTCGCCCCCTTTTTGTCCTTTACACCTCTTCAATTTTTATTTGGGCACAAAGGGGTTTTTCCCCCAGCTGGGAAAAACTTTTCCATTGTTTCTCCCTTTTTCAAAAACCCCGGGGGCTACAGGACAAAGAAAGCCTCCCACTACGCCCCTTTGCTCTTACAATTTCAGTTTGCAAAGTGATGGAAAAGCCTCGTTAAAAACCCACGTTTAATGTGGTTTTTTATGGAAATAAACAGTTTTCTCCGCTAGTCAATATGGCTTTCCGGGAAGGGTCGTTCTACCCTAGAACCCCCTTTTTTACGCTTGGAACGTATGTTCGTAAAGCCTTTGCGAATAATCACTCGGGTTTTTGCCCCTATTTTTTTGCCTTTAAAAGGGTTTTACACAACTTGGAGGTTTTTAAATTTTGGCCCAGGGGCCCCTTCCTTAAGGGCCCCCGAGGCAATCTTTCCATCCTTCCTTAAGAACCTTTTTAAAATGAAAAGACATTTTCCTGTTCGAGCAATAATGTTTTTTTCCCCCCCTTCGTCCAAGTGAAGGGGTCCCTCGGGGGTGTTCTAAGCCCCCAAAAACTTTTTCTCCTTTTCTTAAATGATTTGGCCTCTGTTCTTCCCCCCAATTTTTTTGGTTTTCCCCCCTTGTTGATGACTTCCCCTATTTTCTTGTGGGAGGCGCCCGACTGTCCCCCTTTTTGGGAGTTTCCTCCGCATGCGGGCGACCGGTTTCCCCACTTGGGCCACCCCCACATGGGTTTTAAAATTTTTAAGTACCAAAAATCACCAATTACTTTCCCCTTGGGCCTCTGTTATCTCCCTTTTATCCTTTTATCTCCCATGGGCTCCCGTATTCCCCCAACGTGATACAGAGGTTTTTAGGCCCCTTCCTTTGACCCTCGGTTTAAACCCGGAAACCTCACATTACCTCTCTGAAGGGGACTTGTCACAAACCGGCCCAAACCTTTAAAACCCCTTTCTCATTTTCCTGGGGAGCTGGGTCGTCGAACTTGCTTTTGCCTACATTTTAGCCCTCTTTTAAACGGGAAAATCATTATGGTGAACCAAATTTTTTCCCCGGGTCTCCTGCTACCTCTCAAACCTTTAACTCTATCCTTCCCCCAAAGGGTTTCGTTTTTTGCCCTTTGGGGCTTTTTCCCCCCTTCCCCCGTTTAGAGCCCTATTTCAGAAGCAAATGTTCCATCCTTGTCTGATCGCCTGTTGGCCCTTGGGCCTTTGTTTTAAAATGTCCCCTCTCACGATCTACACAATCCTTCCTTTTTTAGAATGGCCCCCGATATTTGTAGACATTCTTTATTTTTGTTCGCCCCCCTGTTTGCTCCGTCCCTTTTTTCTTCGCCCACAGGGGGGGGGGCTCTTGGGCTTCCCCCTTTATTCCCCCTTTTTTTATTTCATTTTTTACATCTCACTTTTCCCTGCCCCCTGGGGGAAATTCCCGCTTTTTCGGGTTGTTCTTTCCCCCACTCCCCTTTCTCGATAGCCAAAAGCCCACGGTGGCTTCCCGCTCCCCTTTTTTTTGATCACTTCCCTCCCATTCTCATGCCACCCCTGTGTACACAGATGGCTCTAAGTCTTCGACGGGGTCGGATTCGCAGCAGTGTTTCCGGGGCAGCGCGTAGAGGGCATTTACTTTCCTTTCAGCTACTTTTTTTTTGCTGAACTGATGCCCTTCTTTTCAGCACTTTTCGTTTTTGCATTTTATGCCTGTGGCACATTTTTTAGTAGTCTCAGACCCCTTAGTGCTCTAAGGGGTATACGAAAATTTGATACATCTCATCCCTAGTTTCCCTATCCAACTTTGGCACCCCTATTCTTTCCAAAAATAAAGGTATTGGGGGGGTTTTTTGGTTTGGGGCCCCGGGTTTATGTCGCTACAGGGCAATGAACAGGCAAGGGAGAGAAAAGAAAAATGGGGCCGTGATATGGGTTGGCAATTAGTTAGTTAGTTAGTTAAAGATTAGCCGGTATTCTCCCGGCCCGGGCCTTTTCCAAGTGGTGGCCCGGCCTTGGCTCCCTCCTTAGGGAGTGTCTGAGACCTGTCTCTCCCATGGGAGGAGGCACAAGTACCTCCTCATCTTTGGGACCAACTGTCCCCAGGCCTAGCCACAAGCTAGGCCTCTGGTCCGCCATCCCCGCCCCAAGGGAGCAAATGGGAATGACAGTCTTATGAGCTAAAGACTCGGGCTCAGGCACCTACCCTACCCTAGAAGGGTTAGGCATGGTGTCGATCTGGGTTGGCAAAGATGTGCATTAGGTTGTACATAAATGACAGGCTCTAAAATTAATATTCGTGGGAAAGTTTGGAACATTTCAGTCTGATCTCAATCCTTTTGATAGTGGCATGTTCGAAAGCAATAAAGAATAATCCGAAGACTTTTTTTCCATCAAAAGTTAATGTTCTCGGGTGGTGAAACTGGCAATTTAACAGCCTTTTCGTTAATTTAGACATCTTATACCCGACTAGTTTATGGAGGGACTACACTGGAAGGTTAAAACTACAACGAGAGCAGCACTGAACTTAGGGCGTCAGTGGTGATAAGATACGGCATATTTGGCAAGTGTTTCACATCAGGTAAAAAAGTTTCTATAAAACGGTTTAACAACGAACAAGTGCTATTAGTTAATGCTCCTGCTGACCGTACGCCACCAAGCTTACATAGCTAACGTTGGTACTATACCAGTGGTTAAAGGGTAAATTCCCCTCTCCCTCAGTTTTAACTTTCCCCCCCCAAAATTGCAGAGAAGTCAGTGCTATTAATCGTTCCCCCTCAGTTATTTTAGGAAAGTTAAGTGAGCAATCTTGCTTCTCTTTACTATCAAGGCTAGTCTTCACTAGTCTTACTGCTATAGGACTGAAATATTTTTTTTATCTAAATACGAGAGCGGGAGATTAGAGATTTGCAAACTTGCGCCAGTTTAATTAGCACCAAGTTTTCCCAGAACTTCAAGTTGCCCCAACTTCCCACTGGAAGGGGTAGCTTTTATAATTAAACCATGGCGTAAATGTGGCAGGGGTTTGAGCCGTTCTTACTCCAGAATTTAATAATTCATTAAATTCGGGAATAAGCGCTAAACCCACAGAGGTAAAAGTCTACCCTTTACTGCCTTGGGTTTTTCTGCCCCTACGAAAAGAGGTAGTCCATATCCTTGCATAGTCACCTTGATAAGTGCCCTTCAGAAATTTAGCAGTCAGGAATAGAGTGCGAAGTAATGTAGAGTCCCTTGGGGAAGGATACTTATGATAGCAGGAATCATTCCTTAGTTCCCAAATACTTAGGAAACTGGTTAGTTTCTAAGACTATTAAAGAAGAACCACAAGAACCTTAAAAACACAACCACAAGGTATGAAAGGTTACTTTGGATTAAATTAAAAGTTGAGGGAGCTTAGTTTTATTCAAATTTTGAACAAGTAATCTGGAGCCAGCCGGGTCGATGCGGAATTCGGTTAATATCCGTAGTAGTTCCTGAGGGGAAAGGAAAAGGGTTAAATTATATTTAAAGCAATACACGAGAGGCAACAGTAGCGAGCCTAACCAGTACTGATCCCAGGAATTTAACAAAGCAGCCATTTCTTGCTAACTGCGCTCCTTTAGAGGGAGTGGAATTTTCATAGGTGTTGAAATGGTTAAAGTAAGAGCACAGGTCAGGCGTCTACTCGAAGTTTTACATACACGTACCTGTAGTGTTGTCCGTATAGTCTATCTTCAGGGTAGTTATGGCGGTAGTCAGAGCCATAATAGTGGCGGTAGTCATAGCCATGTAGATTATCCCCATATCCTTGACCGTAGGAGTTATAACCATATCCCGGAACGTTATGCCCGTACCAAGGGTAACCACCATAGCCATATCCATATCCATATCTCTGGGTATATCCAGAGTCGCACATGGATAACAAAGTAACCAAAACGAACTAAGTGAAAGAAAGGGAAAACCAGTTAATATAGAATTAGTTAGAAAAATAAATATTACGATAATAGAAAAAATATTAAATCAAACTACTCACTATTACACAAAGAGGCGACATGATGTAAGAAAGTGTAACGTAATGATACAAGCAAATCCACAGCAGCGACTGACTGAAACCACTCTCCTGCGGGTATTATATATGTGGTGGGGCCAGAATGCAAGAACCACGAACAATTCAAAGAACTATTCGATGTTTCGATCTTTCTCACTGGTACATGGGTCGAACCTCCTCGCTGCGACTTATATCGAACCTTTTCACCGGAACGTGAGTCGAACCATCTCAAAAACAATAAGAGCTCTCTCAGGTGTAATAAGGTACTTAAAATCTATCTGTTCCTTGTTTACCCACGGGGTTCCTGTTTCTTATGGATTTAAATTATTATTATTATAATCAAGGGGGAAGCGCTAAACCCGGAGGATTATACAGCGCCTGGGGGGGGATGTGGAAGGCATTCAGGCTTAATTCGGGGAACTGGAGCACAGATTCAATTCCCTAAATCAAGAGCCCCTCACCAACATCAAGGAACCTTCCTTGAGGGGTTATGGATTTAAAATCCAGGATACATACATCTAGAGGGATTCTCTAAGTGTATATACACCGAGTGATGTGTTTCAGTGTATATACTCTCAAAGTTTACATTCATTGTCCTCTTCGCTTTCGGGCCGAGTGGACCTTTGCGCAGACGCTACTCAGTTGCCTCACAGGTACCGAGTTGAGTGGTTGTGTGCTCTGCGCCTCGCCCTCTGGTGGCGAAAATCAACATTACCCCACAAGATGGAGGGAAGCCTCCGACGAGTTAACACTGTATGTGTGGAGATTTTGCAGGGATCTTTGTTGGATCATAATGTTGACGTCCTCCTACTCCAGATCCTGCAAGACACATATAAGATCTCCAACGATGATATCTATGGTGTTTCAGTAAATGGTGCTTCCCGGGTTTTCGTCAAGTTTACGACTTCTACAGTGTATGAGGATGTTGTTCAACGTTATCAAGATCTACGTTGTCAGGTGAACTCAACTGTGGCAGTGTGTCTTCGGGATGTGTCCCGCACTTACACATGGGTCAAGATTCGAAACGTCCCTTTCGAAGTTGATGAGCATGCAATCCGTAAGGTTTTCACCAAATTTGGGATGATTCACCAGACTTATGCAGGTGTATGGAGCCATGGCCCATTTGAAGGTAAACCTGACGGGTCGTTTTCAGTAAAAATGTCCATCAAAATTGCCATCCCGTCTTTTGTTCTCCTCGACGTCTACCGTACTCAGGTATATGTGTATTACCCGGGGCAAAGGAAGACGTGTCGGTTATGTGACGCGTATGGACACATGGCATATCAATGTGATCGTCGGCGTTCTCAACAGGGTGAGCAGCGTGTGTCGTCAGACGCTCCTACACAAGCCCCCGAGTCCATGGTAGGCGAGGGCGTCCGTCCGACACCAACGCCTCGACATCCTTCCCTCGATGTACCTGTCACTACACCTGATTCACCGTGTGTAACATTGCCCTGTATGGAGACAAGCGTTACTGATGACGGTGTCGCAGCGACATCAACTGATGTTGTTCCACCTCGTGAGGTAGAGATAGACCTCCCTGTAGCATTTCCGGAATTGTATGGTGCGGTGGAGGAGTGTCCAGCGCCACCATCCACCCCAGTGGCGTCCGATAATAGCATTGGTAGCCCACCATCAACGATTGCTACTCCAGACGGACCCACTGTGATAATTACTAGCGTGGACGTCCATGCACACATGACCGCACCCGCCCGCATCGTAGTCGACGGGAGCTCCCGTAAGCGGGCGGCAGGGAATTCAAGTAGTGATGATGAACTGACACCAGGACAACGACCTGGGAAAAAGTCGTGGGCCGCGATTGCGGCTAATGGCTTTGACGACAATGCCAGGGTGGCGAGCCTCCCGCTTGGCGATGTTTGTGACACAGACGGTGATGTCGCTCAATGTCTCAATGTATTACGAGTGAATGTGTGTGACGAAAGCCAGCAACATTCCAGTGTTTAACTATAAATGTCAGTGGTTTAAGGGCGACTCACAGGAAAGATGATTTTGAGCAGTGTTTGTCATTTTAAGCCTGATGTGTTTCTCCAAGAGCACAATTATCGGGATGTGGGTGAATTGAGAATACGAGGTTATGTTGTGTATGGAGTGAATAGTCCGCGGTTAAAAAGTGGTGTGGCAGTGTTAAGGGACATTTTCAAAGAAAACGACCCTTCCGGCATGCCAACAAGGGGGCCGTCACGCCAGTGTCTCAACGCCGCCAGATGTACGGTGCCATAAGTCAAGTACGTTCCTTAAATCGCTTTCGTCCGCTTCAAAGGGTACGTTGCGCACCTTCACCCATGTGTAAACACGGGAAACATCTCGAAGGCGGACGGTAACACCAGGGTTAACGGTCTTTATCACATCCTGGTATTTAGCAACCATATTCTCATAATTGCAGCCTTGTCTGAATTTGACGAACAACCTCGTATTGCCATTTAATGCTACACCGTAAAGGTCTTCATTGGCAATTCTATACGTATCTCTCAGGATCGCCGTCAGCAGAAGATGAGTATTCTGACTATTAAATAAGCCAGTCACTAAATCAAGGCAGACAGTGTTGACGCGCCTGCGTCCTCCTTCCGCCATTGTGAGTAGACTGGTGAAAACTGCGCAGAGACTAGACGAATCAGGAGCTACTGCGCAGCCTGTCCGCACAGCCCAAGAGCGATGCGAACAATTGACGCAAAGAAAATTAAGTGGATACTACTCTGGCCCTAAGATGCATCATACATTAAAAATTGAAGCCGTTCAGAAGAGGCAGACTGAAATATATTTAACGTGATTTAACGGGAAAATTGCTTTGCACTGTTTTATACACAAAATGGTGGAACCTGCACCTACACACTTGAATGTCGCTCTCCACCGTCGTCGAATTAGGAAGCATCTTTCTTAAAGGTTTAAAGCAACGTCATTGAGAGGTTTGAAAGTTATCCCAGGGATTCCAGGATGCTGGAAATGGGTTCACTAACTTGGTCATAGAGCATCTGCACATGACAGTTGTTCAAAGAATCTGGGGCCCAGTTAGAGTCCACAAGTGTTCAAATTTTTGAAGTCGATTAGATAAGTCGTTCTGGAGTTATGAACAAAATGAAAACGAAAAGTTGGAGGTAGAAATAAAAATAACAAAAAGAAAATTTCAGAAAGCTTAAAGTTTCCTTTCAAAGTTGCTTAATAAATACCTAAAAAAAATCACTGCAACTATCTATATACTATATATACACTGTGTATATATTATATAATGTAAACGCTGATGTAATTACTCCGGTCTGACATCGTCAGTTTTTTAAAAAAACTGTATATTGCAAATCTGCATGTGTCATATAGTAGTCACAACATATATATGTTGATAACGACAGTGTACAGTTTTTTTTTTTATATTTTATTTATAACATACAATACATTAACAAAAGCATACAGCATGAGAGCATCGACAGACAATATAAATTCATCAATTTCTATACACTGCAATATGCAGTAATATGTCATGCAGCTGATAGGTGAATACTGCCATATACATAATTCATTACTACAAAATATAACTATTCAAGTAATACAAAATAAAGAATCCTCTTGGCAATATAAACACAAATGCAGTATAATGTGATCCTTTGACTACGTTTCGCCCACACAGTGGGCTTTTTCAAGTCACAAACAGAACTACCTGGGGTGGAAGGAACGCGAGTATTTATAGTCCGGCTGAGGTCAGGTGAAGAATGCTGCATCTGATGATGTACCGAGTTGGGTTGTAGAGTCTAAAAACTTGGGTAGCTTGGAAAGGAGACTGGACAAGTTTGTGAGCAGACCTTCTACAGTGTTCTTATGTGGGATAGCGATGAAGAAGTTTCTTGGCAAGTGGTTCAGCTATGTTATAGAAGCCACTATTCTGGTTGAAGTTGTCGGATATAGAAATAAGTGATGATTCCAGGATTCTTCGGTATTGGGTGTTGTCTTCTGTGGCGATAAGTCTTGAGTTTCTGTAGTTTATCAAGTGGTTGTGTGAATTACGGTGTTGTACGCAGGCATTCCTTGTGTCGTCAGACCTGCTTGCGTATTGGTGTTCTGAAATACGTGTTTGGAGGTCAATATAAACACAAATGCAGTATAATGTGATCCTTTATTGACTACGTTTCGCCCACACAGTGGGCTTTTTCAAGTCACAAACAGAACTACCTGGGGTGGAAGGAACGCGAGTATTTATAGTCCGGCTGAGGTCAGGTGAAGAATGCTGCATCTGATGATGTACCGAGTTGGGTTGTAGAGTCTAAAAACTTGGGTAGCTTGGAAAGGAGACTGGACAAGTTTGTGAGCAGACCTTCTACAGTGTTCTTATGTGGGATAGCGATGAAGAAGTTTCTTGGCAAGTGGTTCAGCTATGTTATAGAAGCCACTAATTCTGGTTGAAGTTGTCGGATATAGAAATAAGTGATGATTCCCAGGATTCTTCGGTATTGGGTGTTGTCTTCTGTGGCGATAAGTCTTGAGTTTCTGTAGTTTATCAAGTGGTTGTGTGAATTACGGTGTTGTACGCAGGCATTCCTTGTGTCGTCAGACCTGCTTGCGTATTGGTGTTCTGAAATACGTGTTTGGAGGTCCCTTGATGTTTCGCCCACGTATAACTTGTTGCAGTCATTACAAGGGATTATGTATACCCCTGCAGAGGATGGAGGCTTGTCCTGCCTACTACTGGTGATGTCCTTGATGGTCGTGGTTGTGGAGGTAGATACTTGGAATGATGTTTTGGCAAAGATGTTGGAAACATGTTTGGCAATGGAGTTGGTGGGAAGGACTATGTATCTCTTCTCGGCAGTGTCTTCTCTGGTGTGTTGAAGATGTTTAGTGCTCGCCGTCTGCAGTCTCTGATGAAGTGACGAGGATAGTGGAGTTTGGAAAATACCTGTTCAATTATAGTGCATTCTTCCTCAAGGAACTCGTTGCTGCAGATTCTGAGTGCACGCAGGAAGAAGCCTATAATTACACCACGTTTGGTTTTGGTGTCGTGGTGAGAGTAGAAGTGGAGAAGATCGTTTTGGTTGGTGGGTTTTCGATAGACTTTAAAACGAAGTTCGTGGTCAGCTTTGCAGAGTAGAACATCAAGGAAAGGAAGAGTGTTGTCGACCTCTTCTTCAAGTGTGAACTGG